GTGGTGGCACATGCCTGTAGTCCCAGCTACTCAGGAGGCTGAGGCAGGAGGATCGCTTGAGCCCAGGAGTTTGAGGTTGCAGTGAGCTATGATGACGCCACTGCATTCTAGCTGGGGCAATAGAGCGAGACTATGTCTCAAAGAAAACAAAAAGAAAGAAAGAAAAGGTTTGCCAAGCTGGACGTCGTGGCTCATGCCTCTAATCCCAGCAACTCAGGAGGCTGAGGCAGGAAGATTTCTAAGGCCAGGAGTTCGAGACCTGCCTGGGCAACATGGCTAGACCCTGTGTCTTAAAAAATGAGAAAAATGAGCCGGGCGTGGTGGCACGCACCTGTATTCCCAGCTACTCGGGAGGCTGAGGCAGGAGCATGGCTCTGGCCCAGCAGTTCAAGGCTACAGTGAGCTATGATCGTGTCACTGCACTCCAGGCTGGGTGACAGAGTGAGACTCCATCTCTAAAAAAATAAAACAAAATAAAAAATGCGAAAAAGAAAAGGTTTGCCAACCTCCAGCTAAGGGAAGCCCCATACCCACTATTCTGCCATTTGATTTTGCCACTTAACCATAGATCCCAAAGCTCTTGCAATATCAGAACATAAAGAAAGTCCCTTCATCCTTTGCCGTGGCTGCACCGTATTCTACCATGTGAAGACACTTTGTGTTCAGTTGGTCCCCCCAGTGTAAGACATTTGGGGGGATTCGAAGGCTTGATTCCAACTAACAGTGCTGCAACTTGGTCTATACACACAAGCCACTTTCCACGTTGGGAAGGACATCTGTAGGATAAATTTCCAGAAATAGTTTTGCTGGGTTCCCAGGGTATGGGCAGTGAGGAGGGGGGAGTTCCTGTGGCTGCATCTCCTCAAATTAAATGCAGAAGGTGGCATACACATGGGTATTTTTCTGGGCAGTGACTCCAAGGTCGGATTATGGTTGAATGTGGGACTGAAGGTGGAGATGGGGGTTTGGCTCTGGGAGACCCAGGGCCTGTGGCCCAGGTTGGGCACTAACCAAGGTCGTCGGCGAGCCTCCGGCCATCCTCGGCAGGCACCACACGCTCGTCCTCCAGGTCACACTTGTTCCCCACGAGGATGACCTGGGCGTTGTCCCAGGAGTAGGTCTTGATCTGCGTGGCCCTGTGGAGTTGTCAGACGTGAGCCACAAGCCCCGGGCTAGGAATTAGGGGGTCAGTAGTTAGCAGGTACTCACCAGTCCTGCACGGCTGCAAAGGACTCTTGGTTGGCGACATCGTACATGAGCAGGAAGCCCATGGCTCCCCGGTAGTAGGCTGTGGTGATCGTACGGTAGCGCTCCTGTCCCGCCGTGTCCTGGGCAGACAGCAGTGTCAGGTGGCTAGAAGCCACCCAGTTCTCCACTCCACCCCTGCGGGGCCCTCCCTGTCTGAGAGGGGCACCGCCTTGTGCTCACAGCCCCAGTCTGATGGGGGAGGCACGGACTCATTCTCGAGGGACCGCCCCCCAGAGGGTGCCATCTTGATAGGACACCTTGGTGCTGTTACCATAATACTCCTTCCCTGCAGCTGGGTTGTGGGAGGGGCAGAAGCGTGGCTCTGAAGAACAGACAGTCTCATTTGGGGTAGGGGGCATGTCCCCGGGCTTGCCCCTGAGATGGTACCCAAATCTCTTCCCCATGCCTTTTTTCTTTTGAGACAGTCTCGCTCTGTCACCTGGGCTAGAGTGCCGTGGCATCAGCCTAGCTCACAGCAACCTCCAACTCCTGGGCTCAAGCGATCCTCCTGCCTCAGCCTCCCGAGT